ACCCTCAAGCTCCCAGGCCTCTGGTAGAGGACCCGAGCTTGAAGGATAAACCGCCCGCAGGGCGTGCTGGGTGTTTTTCATGAAAAGGATCCACCATAAAAAAAAATCCTACCATAAAAAGGAATTTACCATAAATTCCTTTTTATGGTAAAACCTGGTAAAATGGTAAGGGTAAAATCTGCAGCTTGTAGCCAAAATACAAGAACCAAGTTAAATGAATATCACCATCTTCCAGCATCCGCTACCTTTGAAAGGCATAAGTAAAAGGAAGTGTAACAATAAGCAATATATTTTATTTCTCTCACCCCAACCGGTCCCTGAGCCTGGTTCTGCTGGAGATTTCTTCCTGTTAAAAGGGAGTTTTTCCTTCCCACTGTCACCAAAGTCCTTGCTCATAGGGGGTCATTTGGGTTTTCCTCTGTATTTGTTATTGTAGTGTCTACCTTACAATATGAAGCACCTTGAGGCGACTGTTGTTGTGATTTGGCGCTGTATAAATAAAACTGAATTGAATTGAACAAAATGTTTGTAATAGGGTTTAATGGTCCATAAATATACATCCTTATATGTTTTACATAATATAATAAATATATGTTTGACTTGTTTTTTGTCCTCAGCTACTGAGCCTCCCACCTTCATCCCAGAGATGGATATAGGTGATATAGGCATCACTGATATAGGTGTAGCGTACCGGGGAACAATTGCTGTAACTGTGACTAGCAAAACGTGCCAGAGATGGTCATCTCAGACGCCACATAAACACCACCAAATCCCAGAAAACTGCCCTTACAAGTAAGAGTTGTAACCAGACATCAGTGTCCACTCTCTGTGATATTAATGTTGTGAAGAAAATATTAGTGGGTATTTTCAATTTGTAGGTTTGATTAATAGTTTTCAGCTGCAACATGGGAATCACAGGAGAAAAACAAAGATATGATAATAAACCACAAGATTTAGAAACTTTTTTTCCCATAATGAACTCTGTCTATAGTGTTTAAGCCATTAGAAAGCAATGTCAAAGCAAAATCCCTGTAAGAGTTTGACATGAGAAACGTGAAGAATCGCTAAGAGTTATCTCTTGTTAAATGGTAGAACTAAAATAATCCATGAGTTGTTGTTTCAGGGTCTATCCAGTTTATACAAGAGAAGAAGTAAAAATTGAGTCAGTACCTTTAAGGTTATGAGGAGTGACAGCAGTGGTGTCCTCTATCAGCCTGATATACATTTGTAAAGTCTCTTTTCACCATGTAGTCAACATTTTGGGAAAGTAATTTGTACAACTTAATTTCAATTTAAATAATCCATCAGGTTACTGTAGATTACTAAAACTTCATTAACATGCCTGCATTAAGTTTGTTTTCATGGCCTCATTGCTATGTTTTTCCATGCTCATCTTTGTCAGAGGTCTGGCTGCTAACTACTGTCGTAACCCTGACAATAAGTTGTTCCCCTGATGCTACACAACTGACCCTGACACTGATTGGAAGTTTTGCAACGTGCCACTATGTGGGGAAGCACCTACTCCAGGTATAATATCAGTCAGCTTGTTTCCTCTTTCTTTTTCACACAAAAATGCATCCAGGAATTTTTTTTCTTTCCTTATCTCCTGCTGCGGATCCTCCAGTGACCCCCGCAGATGAGAAAGATTGCTATGAGGGGAACGGTTCCAGTTATTGGAGTATAACATCAGAGACCATCAGTGCTCCATTGGAAATGAGAACAGCGGGTATTGGAGAAGGGGGCATTTATAGTCTGAGGTCGTAAGGGGCGTGAACGAGGTGTGGTCCCGCTCCTGAAATTCAGATGATATTTTCCACAGAATGATAGATGTACATCTTAACTTGTTATACCAGAAATTAATATTACATTTTAAAAAAACTGTTTAGTAGGTGGATGTTCTGAAGTATCAGGTCTTTTTTTGCAACAGGGACCTCAGAGAGAATCTAAAAAAACATACTAGAAGACAACGTTAGAATAATAGCCACTAATGATTCCCTGATTCCATGATCCCATTCTGCTTTTTAAATATCCTAGGAACCACCGCCAGCAGTCTGAGACTGAAGTGGTCTGTTGGGGTGATAGAACTAAAGAAGTTACTGAGATGAAAGGTGAAACATCTACAAGAAAAACTTAAAAGAAGTCCAGTCGCACCATCAAATATTCTCGAGAGAATGAATAGCTGTTCCATAAAAGGACGAATATTGCATCGTTCCTTCTGCATCTGATGTTTGACAAATGGATGAATTCCCCTTTCCACTACCCTGGCATAGATTTGGCCTGGGAGGCCCAGGAGTGGGATCTCCCTGTAGTTGGTTTGTTTCAGTTCCTGAAAGCAGACATTTTATCAGCCATTTGGGTTCTTTGTACTGTTTTTTGTTTTGTTTTGTTTTGGCTATTTACTTTGTTGTTTTCTGTGTTATTTGCTGTGTTATTCTATGTTATTTGTGTTAATGCTTTCAGGAACAGAATTTTTTGATTGCGCCAATGGTTTAAAAGTTATCGTAATTTGACCTAAAAGTTTGACTGACAAACGATGGAATGGGGTTTTAACAGGTTAATCATCCCAGTTATCTTGCTCCAGGTGATGAGCGAGTCATCACCGTTGTTTCCAGACTCTGCATCCTCTACAGAAAGCTTATCAGTGGGCTTCCAAAGGTACTTGAAGTATTCCTTCCAGGAAACGATTATATCCTCAGTTGAAGTCAGCTAGCACCTTACCTGCAACTTATAAATAGAACACCACTTTCCCTGCCTGAGTTGCTTTGCTTGACGGTTTGCCAGGATCACTACGAGGCAGACTGAAAGTCTTTTCCCATTGTTTAACCAAACTTACACCCAAGATTTTGCTTAAGCTCCCCCCAGAGCTCTGCTCCACTCAGCCCACAGACTAACCAACCGTGATAGGACTCAGCTTTATGGCTCCATTCACCTCCGATGTCCAATCGGGGACTTCCATCACGACAAGCACCAACCATATCGTAGCTAAAGCTCCTTAGAGCACCCTCAGCAATGGAGGTGCAAAATATGGTCCTCAATAATGATGGCGTGATGAAGCTCCATGAATGTGTTGAATCTTTCCGGCAAATTGCTTCCCCAAAAGGCAGATCACACGATGCCCTGTTTAACAGCTCATTTGGAAGTAATGTCATCTGCTGGTCATTCAATGTACAGCAGGCCTGCTGTGATAATACATGTGGGCTACATACCAGTGGATATGCAAACGTAATTATGTATCAATTACAGAATATCCCAGTGAGATCCTATATAATATAAATATATAAACACATACACACACACCCCTAATTAACCATCCTCTCTGAGACTGATTTAAGATCTTTGTTATTATTGGGCAATAGTATGTCAATTTATTTGCATTTCTGGGAGCTTCATAATGTCCTTAAAATCTCCATTCATGCTCTAGATGATCCTCAGAATCACCTCAGATCCAGGTCGTGCAAAAAACGTATTTCCAGTTTGATTCTTTGAATCAAATAAATAATAAACAAAGAAATGATGGATAAATGAATAAATTGAGTTACGTCTCAAAATAAGAGAATCTAATTTGGTCAATCCAACAATTTTTCTTGTGGCTTACAAGGCTGTAAAATCTTCTCTTTTATTAATTAACACCAGTCCAAACTAACTTTCGTGCTTCACTCTTTTTGTGAGAATTCATGATAATAATAATGACTACTTTGCAGTTGAACTGAATTGTGGAACACCAGCTATCAAACCAAAGCGCTGCCTTCGTAGTATGGTGGTCAGTGGCTGTGTGTCAAAGCCTCACTCGTGGCCCTGGCAAACTGCCCTCCAGACCAAGTGAGTATATATGTTCAAAGACAACTTTCATTTGTAAAGGACTTTCAATTTCCTCAACAAAATGTGAACTCTGATCCACCCTCAGTGGGTCTTAACATCTGCTTTGTGCTTGAGGTTAGAATAAAGTCATCGTTAACACCTGAAAATCAAATTCTGCAATTACTCAAAAATTTATTAATTACTCCCTTTGTTTCTACATATTATACACTGCAGCTCCAGTCAGCCTTCAGCCTTGAGGGTAGTGCTGGGTATGCACTCACTTAGAGCCACTGTGCCATCGAGACAAGTGAGGATGCTTGAGAAAATCATGACTGGACCAGATGGATCGAATATTGCTCTGCTCAAACTAGCAACGTCTGTATGGGCCTAATTATCCTTGGTGAAATCAGATTACACACACACCATTGATTTTGTGTGTGTGTGTGTGTGTGTGTGTGTGTGTTTTCAGACCTGCGGTGATAAACAACCAAGTGCAGCTGGCTTGTCTGCCAAAAAAGGACTATATAGTTCCTGGTGGAACAATGTGTTATGTTACTGGATGGGGTAGGACTCAAGGTACATTTGTGTGTGCTCTTGTGCGTCTTTGTAAAAATTCAGAGTTTCAGAGTGAGAAGAAATAAATCAGACTTTTTAGATATACAGTCAGGGAAAAATGATTTGAACCCCAGGCTATTTGGACTGGACTGGTTCCCCACCGTTCTCATTATCCTTGAAACTCCATGAGGTGAGATCTTGCGTGGAGATCCAGACCGAGGGAGATAGGCAGTTATTTTATGGTTCTTCCATTTCCGAATAAATGCACCAACTGTTGTCGCCTTCTCATTCACCTGCTTGGCGGTGGTCTTCTAGCCCATCTTTCACTTAACATTGCAACAGTTTAATCAGTTTAATCATTTGCAGAACATTTTTTTGTTAAACAGGTCTTTTTTTCTGACAAAATGTACTTTTGAGAGGCTCAAAAAATACCAGCATGCATTAGATATAAAACACAAAGAGCTGATAACAGCATTATTCATTACGCAAACAATTCCCACAGTAAAGATATCACAATACATTTTATCTAGATGATGAGGAGAATAATTGCAGAGGGCTGTGTCGACAGGTATTGGAGGTGGACGCGTCCTGGAAGAAACTGGTTTCCCTGTGATCGACAACAAGATCTGTAATCGCGACACTGATATAGTTGCAGACCACGAAATATGTCCTGGAAATACAGAGGGAGGAAAAGCAAGCTGCCAGGTATGACAAAGTAAAAGATGTAAAAACTGGGCAAAGTTCTATAAAACTGTTTGTGCACTGTTGTCTGCCTCAGTGTGTACACTGTTTTGATAACAGTATTGCCTCAGTTTAGTGACCTGATATTTTTAATAGTTTTCTAGAAAATAGATTTTTTTTTCTGTTATAGATTTTAAATAGATTTTACTATATATACACCAGTAGAAAATAGAAAATAGATTTTTTTTTCTGTTATAGATTTTAAATAGATTTTACTATATATACACCAGTTTTTGAAAAAAAAAAAATCCTCGGTGAAATTTAACTCAGTTGTCTCAAATATTACATTTCAGTCAAAATTCAAGGTATATACTTTATTTCATTTCATTTATAACTTGTGACTGTCTAACAGACAAATATTAATATACAGTGACCTCTGGCTGAAAGCTTTAGTTATATTTATGGAAAATATCCCAAAAATAAACTGAAAAGATTAGATCCTTTTCAGATAAAATGGGAGTCAAACTGATGCAGTAAATATTCTTTTATTGGAGAGAAAACTGTGCAGTATAATTTACTTAAGATGTTGAAGATATCAGAATATTAAACAGGCTATTGTTTGGATAAGAGGCTGTAACAGGAGAGAGATGATACAGAAACATGACATTCTTATAAAATCAGCTTCGTCAGAAACTAACCAAAGCACATGTTTTAAATGTTTGAAATAAAAATGAACTGAACTGAACTGAACATATGACCCGAGCCACGTTAAGTGGCGATATCACTAACGTCACGTAACTTAGCTGAAGGTTAGCTAAATTTAACTTTTTAAGACTTTTCACTATGCTAACATTTGGTCCGCTCAATATATTTATTGAGATAAAAACTCGGTACTTACTTTTAAAAGTTTGTTTCCACTTTGCTTCGACTGTCCGCCATTTTTTACACAAAATTTCAACCTTTTACTTGCAAAGAATCCTGGGATATGGTCAGCCACGAAGGATACACCCAACTCGTCCTTCACATCTGGAGAAAAGGTAGGGCCCCATTTGGAGGAGGCTTCGACTTTTGACAGCCTTTGTTGCGTCGCTGTGACATAATTGGCCTACAAATGCGGACTCCGAAGGATGCTGCCCCTGAATTTGGACACATACTTTGTCTGTCTTCGTATCACTCTCGCTCCCTCACTCTTTCGTGTCCCCGCTGTCAGGTCATCTGCTGTGTTCACGCCCTGTTTCCAGGTATCCACCCATCCATACCAGGATTTCATTTTCATGTTTAGTTTTTCCACTTTAGGTTTGTTTTGCACCTTTCTAACAGCCACAATGAACAGCTCCCTTTTCGTTAAAATCTAGTTATGTTCCACGCTTCATTTTGTCTGCGTTTGGGTCCGCTCTCCTCTCTCCACACGCAGACTCTGACACTTTCTTAGCTTGCTTTTAGCATCAGTTAACCTAAACACCATCAAAAAGATCTGTGTGAGTAAAATAGTAAAGTATCCACTATCTAATATCTATTTTGTGTTTCCTCCCTGTAGGGTGACAGAGGTGGTCCTCTGGTTTGTTATGAGCAGAACAGATTTGTCCTTCAGGGTGTCACAACATGGGCTGAGTGATGTACGTTGAGCAGGACGCCCAGTGTCTACGCTCGAGTTTCTAAGTTTGTGGACTGGATCGATGCAACCAAAGCCAACTAAAAGCTATCATCTGTAATGTGGTTGTTGAGGATGTCTTAACATCTATACTGTGTTCTGTAACAGCATGGCTCCAGTAAAACTGTGATTCTTCTTCCCTGATTAGCTGTTAACTCCTCCTATATTTAATGTTTTAGTAACTTTGATTTGCATTTTCTGTTAACACTAGAGGGCCATTTCTTTGATGTCCATCAGCGTAAATATTCTCCTCTGCCAAAACCTTTGCTGCAATCTTCTGCCATCTTCCCCGTCCATATCTGACAGAGAATGCTGACTGTTGTGTTGAGCTTCTTTGTTCAATGTGTTTAATGTAGAGTCCACAAATCAAAATTAACCCACTACTTTCTGTAAGATGTAGATATCTACTCCTCTCTGTCCTGTAGCTCTGTTAAATGTGAGCACTGTTTGTAGTCAGTCCTGGAACTGTCATTAAAAAACGTGATGACTGATTTTGAGTTATGTACAATTCCAGTGACGGGTGGATGAAAACTGAATTTCACTGACTTTCGATGTCCAAAGTTAATAATATTTTGTATGAATGGCACAGTCTATTCTTTACTGTAACACCATATAACACCACCTGGCATTATTTTAGTAATAATAAAAATGTATTCAAAACAGTCATTGTTTCACTTTGGAGCAATCACTACTCAATGCCAGAAATGTGTACTTGATTAGACCTTTCACTCTTCTGTCCATAGTACTGGGGACCTTGGCAATTGTGTAGTGGAGTGTAGTATTAGTAATTTGTGTTGTTTCACAGTTGCATTTGGAGACTTAAGGTCACCTAATGCTTGCATACCAACCTTTGTGGTTCTCTCTGTCCACAGGTTTCATCAAAATGTCAACAAGATCTGATGGTTAGTTTGTTAGTTTACTATTATTAAAAAAGAGTATCAAGGTCTTGTATGAGTTGCATTTCAGTGCAGGTACAAACGCTATACATGTTCATTTACACTGGAGGACTAAATAACCAGGAACCGAGGCGACCAGATGCTAGGACACAGAGCCATTGCTAGGGGGTCTCCCAAAGTTCATTCTATTCATCTAAGAACTTGGTCCAGACGGACAGAATGAACTTTTGGAGATTTACTTACCTGGATGATTGAGCATGCATCAAGACATAGCTAGGGGGTGTGCAATATGAATAAAAAAAGAATGCTTGGACACTCCTAGCATAAGTTTTTGGACAGGTTTTTGACAGGGCTCCCACACAAACGCAAAGCAGAAGATGAAGCATCGCCAAATATGTTTCCAAACCAACTTCCTTCCAAGCCAAAGACTAGAAAATATAATGAAACGTATCTTGCACAACGGTGAGGCCAAGGTAGGCATCCCCAACAGAATTTGTTTCGCGTTGGGAGCACGCACAGTTGCTTCACAGTCCTGGGTCTCTTTGTTGTAGTTTTTATTTCATGATGCCCCAAATGTTTTCAACTGCTAAAAGCACTGCACTGGAGTCAGGCCAGTTCAGCAACTGGACTTTTCTACTCGACAGCTATGCTGTTGGAACAGCTGCAGTATGCTGCTTAGCATTGTCTCTCAGAAAAATGCAAGGCCAAGGTATGTTGCTGTAAAATCAGTATAAACCTTTCATCACTGATGGTGCTTTTCCAGATGTGCATACTCATAAGCACAGATGCACCTCCATACGATCAGAGATGCAGACTTTTGAAAGTACCAGTACTAAGCCAGATGGTCCGTCTCTGCTTAATTCCAGATGACACAGCATCCATGTTTTCCACTGTGCTTGAGTGGATTTTAATGAGCTTTGACCCAGAGAATTCAATTCAATTCAGTTTTATTTCTATAACACCAAATTACAACAATAGTTTCATTGGGGCACTTTATGCATAAAGTAATAGTGATAAGTGATTATGCATAAAGGTAAAGGCCCTACCTTACAATTTAAAGCTGCAGTGATTGCAGCATTTCCAGATGTGTCGACTTCTGCATGACTCTGCCAGTACTGTAAACTGTAATTGTGGATGGTGTGATGAACTGTGCTCACAGACAATGATTTCTACAAGTGTTTGATAACCAGTGGAGTGATTTCAATGACAGAATCGTGCCTGTTTTGAATGCAGTGCTGCCTGGTAGCATTCTGATGCCACGATCCTATATGATGTTTTGCTTTGTCCCTTGCTCACAGAGATTTGTGCAGATTCTTGGACTCTTTTGATGATGCTATGTACAGTAGATGACGAGATATAAAGTAGACTGGCAATCAATTGCCCATCTTTACTTTAGAGGAACTCTAACTCTTTTTATACCCAACCATGTTACTGAGCTGTTACTTAACTAGTTACAAAATGTTCTTCCAGCTGTTTCTTTTACTTTTCCAGCATGGGTTCGGAGTTTATTTTAATAGTTATTGCTCATGAAACAGTAAAAGGACTCAGTTTTAACATTTGATATGTTTTTTTATACTCTGGATGTTAAGAAATTATGGGTCAATTTAATGATTTGAAATCGTTGAGTTCTGTTTTCATTTACAGTTTCCCAACCTTTTTGGAGTTAGGTTGGGAAACTGTAAGGTTGTGTGATTGCAGAAGTATCTCAATTCCAGATGTTTATGTATGTATTTGTTTTTTTTACTTGTTCTCGGAACCATACCTAGAATTTGACTAAAATATAACAATAATTATATTTTTTATCTTAATGAAGAAAAGTGAAAATTGAACACTATGGACTTGTCACTAGGGACTAAGATATCACAGAAGCGGGTCTGGATTCAGGCACAGGACCTCAGAAAAACATTTAACAGTTTATTTACAAGAGAAAAACACACCAAGGGCTATCTACAAAAATGTGGGGAGGGAGAAATCCAGGGGTCCTTTAGGGTGGAAAAATCACACATTAATCCTCTTCAGTCATACACGAGGATGTCCTCTTCAGCCACACACCACTCGAAACACTCACATCAAAACTTCTGGAAAAACACGGGCTGGGACAGGTCCAGGGGAATTTATAAACCAAAGGAGAGAACAAATCAATAGCCAGAAACAACAACTAGAAAAGGATAACTTAGCGAGAGTTGTGTTCTAAAGCCTAAGTTTGAGTATATTGCTAATCTAACCACATGTATGTCATGTATGCATAGGATAACCTATTACATGAATATATCTTTGTCTTTTGTGGCTAGCCTTGTACATCCTGACTCCCGTATTCTTTTGAATGGAGTTTGGCTGGCTGCTGAATTGTGTACCGACGCACACACACAAGAAGAGCAGTACGATAATTATAGATGACTTTAATTATTCAACTAAAAGTTATTACAGTAAGCCAAAGAGTAAAACTCAAATAGGGGAACAAAAGGGTAGTATTGTTGAGTAAATTAAAAATTGAAGTATAATTTCAAAAAATAAAAAATAACTTTGGCAATATTGTTTACTCATTAAACTAAAATAAATGTATTACAAATAATAATAATAATTATTATTATATAGCGCTTTTCGAGAACCTCAAAGCGCTTTACAA